AAGGTACTAGCTAAGCTTGAAAAAAGCAGAGAAGACACTACAGAATCCTTTTTTGGATAAATAAAAGAACTAAAATCTAACCAAGTCAAAAATCAAAAAGGCTATTAATGAGATGCAATAAAAAATGGAGGCTCTAACTGCTAGGATAAATGAGGCAGAAGAGAAGATTAGTGATATAGAAGACAAAATGATGGAGAATAAAGAAGCTAAGCAAAAGAGAGATAAACAACTGGATCATGAGGGGAGAATTCAAGAGATAAGTGATACCATAAAGCAGAATAATATTAGAATAATTGGGGGGGCAGAAGGTATATTGGAGCAGATTATAGTGGAAAACTTCCCTAATTTGGGGAAGGAAACAGGCATTCAAGTTCGGGAGGCACAGAGAACCCCCCTCAAAATCAATAAAAATAGATCCACACCCTGACATATAATAGTGAAACTTGCAAATCTCAGAGACAAAGAGAAAATCCTGAAAGCAGCTCGGGACAAGAGGTCTGTAACCTACAAGGGTAGAAACATTAGACTGGCAGCAGACCTATCCACAGAGACCTGGCAGGCCAGAAAGGACTGGCATAATATATTCAGGGTGCTAAATAAGAAGAATATGCAGACAAAAATACTTTATTCAGCTAGGATGTCATTCAAAATAGTGATAAAAAGCTTCCACGACAAATAGAAACTTAAAGAATTTGTGATCACCAAACCAACCCTACAAGAAATATTAAAAGGGATCCTCTAAGCAAAGAGAGAACCCAAAACTAACATAGACCAGAAAGAGACAGAGACAATATAAAGTAACAGTCACTTTACAGGTAATACAGTGGCACTAAATTCATATCTTTCAATAGTTACTCTGAATGTAAATGGGCTAAATGCCCCAATCAAAAGACACGGGGTATCAGATTGGATAAAAAAGCAAGACCAATGGATATGCTGTCTGCAAGAGACTCATTTTAGACCCAAATACACCTCCAGATTTAAAGTGAGGGCGTGGAAAACCATTTCTCATATCAGTGGACATCAAAAGAAAGCTGGCATGGCAATCCTTATATCAGACAAATTAGATTTTAAACCAAAGACTGTGGGCGCCTGGGTGGCTCAGTTGGTTAAGCGACTGCCTTCGGCTCAGGTCATGATCCTGGAGTCCCAGGATCAAGTCCCGCATCGGGCTTCCTGCTCAGCGGGGAGTCTGCTTCTCCCTCTGACCCTCCCCCCTCTCATGCTCTCTCTCTCATTCTCTCTCTCAAATAAATAAATAAATAAATAAATCTAAAAAAAAAAACAAACAAAGACTGTAATAAAGAGATGAGGAAGGACAGTATGTTATAATTAAAGGTTCTATCCAACAAGAAGATCTAACAATTGTAAATGTTTGTGCCCCTAACATGGGAGCAGCCAAATATGTAAGCCAATTAATAACAAAATCAATGAAACATATCAATAATGCAATAATAGGGGACTTTAAAACCCCCCCTCACTGCAACGGACAGATCATCTAAGCAGAAGATCAGCAAGGAAATAAAGGCTTTGAAAAAAAAAGGAAATAAGGGCTTTGAATGACACACTGGACCAGATGGACTTCACAGATATATTCAGAACATTCCATCCTAAAGCAACAGAATACACCTTCTTCTCTAGTGCACATGGAACATTCTTCAGAATAGATCACATACTGGGTCACAAATCAGGTCTATTTATGCATTCTTGAAATGACCATTTAGTAGTGAAAAACAGATCACTCATTGTCAGTGTTTGAGGGGTCAGGTAAGAGGGAAGTGGGTATGCTCATGTAACAGGATAATGTGGTGGATCCTTATGGTGTTGAAAATGTTCTGTATCTTAATCATATTAATGCCAGTATCCTGCGGTTTTTTTGTTTTTTGTTTTTGTTTTTGAGGGAAAGAGTACAAGCAGGGGTCAGGGAGGGGTTGAGGGAGAGGGAGAGATTCTCAAGCAGGCTCCATGCTGAGGATCATTCTCACAAACCTGAGATCATGACCTGAGCTGAAATCAAGACTCGGACACTCAACCCACTGAACCACCTCAATGCTCCATCCAGTATCCTGGTTTTAATACAGTTTTGCATTGGGATAATCTGGTTACAGGGTACAAAGGATCTCCTTTTACTATTTTCTAAAACTTCTTATTAATCTACAGTTATCTCCAGTTAAAAAATGGAATAAAAAAATGGAAATCAAGTATTACATAAGTGTTTAGAGCAAAGGGACACTAGAATGAGACTTTTTCTCTATTACATGATCAGAGAATTGATCTGAAAATAACCTGTTTTCTAAAACAAAACAAAACAAAAGGTCTACACTTAGATACCATTTTTCACCTATCATATTTGAAAAGATCATAAAATGGACGCCTGGGTGGCTCAGTTGGTTAAGCGACTGCCTTCGGCTCAGGTCATGATCCTGGAGTCCCGGGATCAAGTCCCGCATCGGGCTTCCTGCTCAGCGGGGAGTCTGCTTCTCCCTCTGACCCTAACCCCTCTCATGTGCTCTCTCTCATTCTCTCTCTCCAAATAAATAAATAAAATCTTTAAAAAAAAAGATCATAAAGTTTGATAATATATTTGGGAGGTCATGAGGGAAACATGTACTCTTATACTCTGTTGGTGCCGTCTATAGAAAGACATTTTAGTGAGTTTCAAAATTAGAAGTGCACATGCCCTTTCACTTACAGTTCCACCTTTAACTATTTGTCCTATAGATCTACTTTCACAAATGCAACATGACATGTATTCTGTGTTTTTCACTGCATCATTGACATAATAACAAAAGATTGGAAACAGCCTAAGTATCCTTTAAGTAGGAGACTGGTTAATTATTGTACATCAAGAAAATGAACTTCTGTGAAGCCATGAAAACAGAACAAATGAGGAAGCTCTTAGTAATGAGTACTCTTCAAGATATTTTAAGTGCAAAAAAGCAACATGCAAAACGTGTGTGCTGTGTGTGTGTGTATACACATACATGAAAGAATTTAATTGTAAATAGAACATTTTTGAAAGGATATTTAAGAAACTGGTTTCTAGGGGCACCTGGTTGGCTCAGTCAGTTAAGCGGCCGGCTCTTGATTTCAGCTCAGGTCATGATCTCAGGTTCCTGGGATTGAGCTCCACATTGGGGTCCGCACTCAATGGGAAGTCTGTTTGAGGATTCTCTTTCCCTCTCCCTCTTCCCCTCTTCCCGCTTGCACACTCACTCTCTGTCTCTAAAATAAACAAATCTTGGGATGCCTGTATGGCTCAATCAGTTAAGTGTCTGCCTTTGGCTCAGGGTCCCAGGTTGAGCTCCTTGCTCAGCAGGGAGCCTGCTTCTCCCTTTGCCTGCTGCTCCCCCCCCCCACTTGTGCTCACTCACTCTCTCCCTTTGACAAATAAATAAAATATTTTTTTAAAAATTAAATAAATTTTTAAAAAGGTAAATAGGGGTGGTTGGGTGGCTCAGTCAGTTAAGTATCTGGCTTTGTCTCAGGTCATGATCTCAGGGTCCTGCGATTGAGCCCCATGTCTGGCTCCCTGCTCAGCAGGGAGTCTGCTTCTCCTTCTTCCTCTGCTCCCCCTACTTGTGTTCTCTCTCTCTAATAAATAAATAAAATCTTTAAAAAAAAGAAAAAGGAAAAAAAAGAAATTGCTTTCTGGAAGGGGAACCGAGTACTAAAGATGAGAGAGATGGAAGGAAGAATTTTGGTATACTTTTGAAATTTTAATTATATGACTGTATTACTGAGTCACATTTAAAAATATTGGAAGTGATTGAGGCAATCTTGTAGTAATGGCATAAAAACTAATTTGTTATTCACGTGTTCAGTCATTGTAACTGATATAGTTGAGACATGTTCAGTTCACATGGTGCAAAAATTGGTTTTTATAATTCACTTTACCAGTTATTCAGATTTTTTAATTTTTAAATGAAGTATAATTAACATACAGTGTTATATTACTTTCAGGTATACAGTATGATTCAACAGTTCTACACTGTGCTGATCATAAGTGTACTCAATCCCCTTTATCTATTTTACCCACACCCCCACCTACCTTCCCTTTGGCAACCACCAGTTCTGTGTTTAAGAGTATGCTTTTTTGTTTGTTTCTTTTCTTCTTTGTTCATTTGTTCTGTCTCTTAAATTCCACATGTGAGTGAAATCATATGGTATTTGTCTTTCTCTGCCTAACTTATTTTACTTAGCATTATACCCTCTAGGTCCATCCATATTTCAGATTTCATTTTTTAAAAACATGTATAAAGTGATTTCTCTGCGTGGAGAGATGCAAGCGATGTTTAAGTTTCTTTTTTCTTTTGTGTTTCTTTTTGCTTTCTAATATTTTCTTTAGTTTTCAGCAGTGAAGACAAGTTGCTTTGTGTATTGCACAAGTTCAGGGACTATCACCCAATGTAGTAACCCTGATATTAGCATGTATTTTATTTATAATCTGGAAAAAATATGTGTAAAAATCTTTGCACAGATTAATTTGTAGTTTTTTTAATGCATTAGAAGTGCAGTTCTGCATTTTTTTATTTTTGTTTGGAGCTATGTGAAATTTATTCAAAATTAAGAAGCCAGTTTCGATGAGTAAATATAACACATCTAATTAATCATCTTATCAAAGTGACATTACTGTTTTAACTTTCCCCCAGATCATTTCCAGTCTTGATTTTTGCCACTTGATTTTTTTCTCTGGTTTGGGGTCCTCCCATAGCCTTTATGATTTAGCATTAACATCTAGTAGCCTAACAAAAGATGCATAGTGTATAGCAGCTGATTTCTTTCCTAATTAACTTTTACTAATTAGGGATCCACAAATACTTAAAAGTAGCAGTGTGAACAGAACAGCTCTAACTAGTAATTCTGGATCAAGTATTGGTTGATAACATGCCAAAGACTTTCTTCTCCATGTTTTTGCAAATTGAGAAATTTGAATCTATTTCAATAGTAAATGTTTGAGTTTTGTTTAGTTGATTAATATTATGTTTCATTGCTCTCAGGTCAATCTTACAAACCACTGTGGTTTCATGGGAGGACTACAAAAAAACAAAAGCACTGGATTGACCACACCATATTTTGCTACCTCTACAGTAGAAGTAATATTTCATGTATCAACAAGAATGCCTTCTGATACTGACGACTCTTTGACCAAAAAAGTAAGTGCTGAGAAAAAACGTTGAGTTAAAATCCTAGTAATTAAGAAAATAAATATATAAAATTATGTAAGTAATTTAATTGATCAAGCACTATTTCTGAGTATTCCACTCTTCACCTAATACTGTCCTCAGAAACAGAATTGTTGTGGAGCAAATGCTGTTTTCATTAATGATAACATTGAAGGTTATTATCTTAACAAAGGATTTGTCTTCAAGAAAATGGTGATATGACAAATTGAAAAACTCCTGCGTATGTTTAAATTAGTGAAATTACATTTCAAGTCTTTTCACACACAGATAGATATAATGGTTATATTGACTGAGGGAGAGCAAAAGTTTATATTAATTATTACAAAGCACTTAAAATTTAACATGCTTTATCATAAATTTTAACTAAAACTAATAGAGCAGATAAAATAAGCCTTAATTAATGAAAAAGAATTTTACTACCTTAAAATTTATGAGAGATGTGGTGGAATGGTTTTGATGGCCTTGTCCTTTAAAACCTACACCACCATTTTTCTGTAGGTGGCACTGGCATTCAAAAGTTGTTCTAGTAACTATAGAGATACGTTAGAGTACAGTTGTATGTATTCAATCTGTGTTTGGTTTTCTTAGGGAGAAATATTTTTAAGAATAAAACCTTGTCCAACATTTCTTCACCTTCTCTTTCTCCTCCTTCCTCAATTTATTCAAAACTGACCAGTATAACCAACTTAATATCATTGGTCATTTTACTTAATATTCTTTCCCTGATATCAAAACTCTTTATACTTTATTAACAAACTATGAAAACAGTGTATTCTCACGCTCTTTTGTAAAGGAACTTCAGAACTCCTCTCAAATATTTGATAAGATTGATTTAATACCCTTGATGCCTTTTGTTTACTATTTAAAATACTGTTGGAACTTGCATACTAAATGCGTAATGGTTGATAAAACTAATATGTGGTTGCTAATTAGATTGGAATGAGGTAAAGTTGGAGGTAACTGATAAATATAAGAAAGCATAGTCAGTAACAGGTTTGCTGTAGAATTTCTTGTTGTGTAGTTTTTAGAAGTAGAAAATGATCCATGAATACTGATAAGATGTTGAAGAGGTGGATTGGAGTAAAAACTTCATTAAAACTTCAATTAAGCACGTTTTTCCATCAATTCATTTTAAACCTCTATGAAAATAAGCCATACCTGAATTAGAGACAATTATAAGTATAGTGCAAAAAGATAATTTTAGGGGCGCCTGGGTGGCTCAGTCTGTTAAGTGTCCGATTCTTGATTTTGGCTCAGGTCAATCTCAGTGTCATGAGGTTGAGTCCCGTGTGGGGCTCTGTGCTGGGGGTAGAGCCTGCTTGGGATTCTCTCTCTGCCCTCCCCTGTTCTCACTCTCATACTTGCACGCACACTCTCTTTCCCTCTCAAATAAAATAACAATTAAAAATTGTTTTAAAAGATAATTTTAATCATTAGGAACTTGGCCATGACTCATATTTATCATTATCATTATCATTTTCATGGCTCCATGAATACAACTTTTAAACCCCAGGGCAGAATCTAAAATTGATAGTATCTTGGATTGCAAACATGAGAGAAGAACAAAGTATATCATTTTTTGCTAAAAAAACTCTTTTGTTTTTTAAAGAAAACTATGCCAGGATATTTTTACTTCACTGTATTAAACATGATAATTATATGGTACTTGAAATTTTATTCCTATGACCTTTGTAGAAATGTCAGATAAGTAGGATTTCTTATTATTTTCCAAATAGTCATGAGGGTGTGTCCTTAATTACTTAAGAAGTTTCTGAAATGGATGTTTAACAATTCATTATCTTAAAAAAATTAATTTTGGAGGGGATAACACCATTTAAGAATTGTTAAATGGTTGAGTTCTAATTAAAATAATATTAAGTGGTAAAATTTTTAAGTACTGAAGTTATTAGAGAATTTTGAGGAAGTAAGCATTGAACATTAATAGTTTGTTTCATCTATACATATAGAAAGTTTTTTTACTGTGGTAAAAATTACATACATAATTTACCTTTTTCATGTTTTAAAAAATTTTATTTAGTTTTTTTTAGGGTTTGGAAATTTATTTTTCATTGAAGTATAATTAACATACAGTGTCATATTACTTTTAGGTGTGTGCATTGTAATGCCTGAACAGTTCTATATATTACTCAGTGCTCATCATTATTGATAATTGTACTCTTAATTCCCTTTATCTGTTTCACCCATCCCCCAACCCTTCTCCCCTCTGGCAACCACCAGTTTTTCCTCTGTATTTAAGAGTCTAGTTTTCTCTTTGTCCATTTTGTTCGTTTGTTCTGTTTCTTACATTACACACAGAAGTGAAATCATGTGGTATTTGTCTTTCTAACACTGACATTTCACTTAGCATTATACCCTCTAGGTCCATCCGTGATGTCACAGATGGCAAGATCTCAATCTTTTTTATGGCTGAGTAATATTCTGTTGTGTATGTATATTACATCTTCTTTATCCATTCACCTATGGATGGACACTTGGGTTGCTTCTATATCTTGGCCATTGTAAATTATGCTTCAGTAAACATAGAGGTGCGTATGTCATTTCATTAGTATTTTGTTTTCTTTGGGTAAATACGCAGTAATGGAATTAGTGGATCATATGGTAATTCTATTTTCCATACTGTTTTCCACAGTGGCTGCATCAATTTGCATTTCCACCAGTAGTGCACAAGGGTTCCTGTTTCTTCACATCCTCGCCAATACTTATTTCTTGGTGGTTTGTTTTTGTTGTTTTGTTTTTTTATTCTAGCCATTCTCACTGGTGTAAGGTGATATCTCATTATGGCTTTGATTTGTCTTTCCCTGATGATTAGTGATGTTGAACATCTTTTCATGTGTCTGTTGGCCATCTGTATGTCTTTGGAAAAGTCTATTCAGGTCCTCTGCCCATTTTTAGATTATTATTTTGGTGTTGTATAAATTCTTTATGTATGTTAGATATTAACTCTTTTTCAAATATATCATTTGCAGATGTCTTCTCTAATTTAGGAGGTTGCCTTTTCCTTTTGTTGATGACTTTCTTTGCTGTATTAAAACTTTTTATTTTGCTCTAGTCCTAATAGTTTAATTTTGGTTTTGTTTCTCTTGCCTGAGGAGGCATAGCTACAAAAATGTTCCTACAGCTCATGTCCAAAAATTACTACCTATGTTTTCTTCTAGGAGTTTTATGGTTTCAGGTCTCACATTTAGATCTTTAATCCATTTTGAGTTTATTTTTGTGTATGGTGTAGGAAAGTGGTCCAGTTTTATTTTTTGCATGTAGCTGTCCAGCTTTCCCAGCACTATTTGTTGAAGAGACTGTCTTTTCCCCAGTGTATGTTTTTCCCTCGTTTGTTGTAGATTAATTGACCATATAAGCATGGGTGTATTTCTAGGTTCTTTGGACTGTTCCATTGATCTATGTGTCTATTTTTATGCCAGTACCATACTGTTTTGAATACTACAGCTTTGTAATGTATCTTGAAATCTGGGATTATGATACCTCCAAGCTTTATTCTTTCTCAAGATTGCTTTGGCTCTTTGGGGTCTTTCATGGTTCCATCCAATTTTAGGATTATTTGTTCTAGTTTTGTAAAAATTGCTGTTGGTATTTTGATAGGGATTGCATTGAATTCATAGATTGCTTTGGGCAGTATGGACATCTTAACAGTATTGGTTTTTCCAATCCGTGAGCCTAGAATATCTTTCCATTTGTTTGCATCATCTTCAGCTTCTTTCATCAGTGTTTTATAGTTTTCAGAGTGCAGTTTATTCCTAGACATTTTATTCTTTTCGGTGCAATTATAAATGGGATTGTTTTGTTAATTTCTCTTTCTCCTTCTTTATTATCAGTATAGAGAAATTCAGCCTATTTCATTTTATATTGACTTTGTATCTTACAACTTTACTGAATTCATTTATCAGTGCTAGTAGTTTTTTTTGTGGAGTCTTTAGGGTTTTCCATGTATACTGTAAGGTCAATGGCAAATAGTGAAAAGCTTACTTCTTCCTTATGAATTTGGATGCCTTGTAATGTCTGATTGCTGTGGCTAATACTATGTTGAATAGAAGTGATGAGAGTGGACATCTTTGTCATGTTTCTGATCTTAGAGGAAAAGCTCTCAGTTTTTCACTGTTGCATATGATGTTAGCTGTGGGTTTTTTATATACAACCTTTATTATGTTGAGGTATGTTCCCTTTAAACCTACTTTTTTGAGAGATTTTATCATGAATGGATGTTGTATTTTGTCAAATGCTTTTTCTCCATCTCTTGAAATGATCATATGGTTTTTATTCTTTTTTCTTGTTAATGTAGTTATGTTGATTGATTTGTGGATATTGAACCACCCTTGCATCCCAAGGATAAATCCTACTTGATTGCGGCAAATGATTTTTTTAATGTATTGTTGGATTTGGTTTGCTAATATTTTGTTGTGAATTTTTGCATCTATGTTCATGAGGGATATTGGCCTGTAGTTTTTTTGTAGTTTATTTCTCTGATTTTGGTACCAGGGTAATGCTAGCCTTGTAGAATGAATTTGGAAGCTTTCCTTCCTCTTCTATTTTTTGGAGTAGTTTGAGAAAAATGGGTCGTAACTCTTCTTTATATATTTGGTAGAATTCACCTGTGAAGCCATCTGGTTCTGGACTTTTGTTGTTGTTGTTTAAGATTTTATTTATTAGAGAGAGAGAGAGAGAGCACACGAACAGGGGAGGGGCAGAGGGAGAGGGAGAAGCAGACTCCACGCTGGGATCATGACCTGAGCTGAAGGCAGACGCTTAACCAACTGAACCACCCAGGCGCCCCTTGGGACTTGTTTGTTGGGAGTTTTTTGATTACTGATTCCGTTTCATTGTTAGTAATTGGTCTGTTCAAATTTTTCATTTTTTCCTCATTCCATTTTGAAAGGTTATATGTTTCTGCAAATTTATTCATTTCTTCTAGGTTGTCCGATTTGTTGGCATATAATTTT